AAATTTAGAAATGACTATAAATGTACCACTACGGTGCTGTAGGCATCCACATCCATCGCGAAAAATGTTAAGCCATATCTCGGTAGCCTGCTTTGTAAGTTTCGTTTGCGTTGATAATAAACGATAGACTCTCATTCCAACCAATTTAGGTGCTTCTGACGTCATCACGTTTGGAAGGTACACATTTGCCAATATACTGAAACTTCAAAATTGAGAATTCGGTTATAAAAACTTTTCTAGCTGCGTTTTGCCCATCTGACAATGGTATGACGGATGAACTTAGGCAGATTTTCGTTGATAAACACAATGAGTACCGGTAGGTACCGTTTGCGCATAGCATTTATATTATCATAGTACACAGTACAGATTTACCAAGCAAACTTTTCAGATCTACTATTGCTAAAGGAAAGGCCGTGGATAAAATTGGAGGATTTGCTCCGAAAGCAGCGAGAATGTTGAAAGTGGTATGATTTTGATTCTTCCTTCACTCGATGACACTTCTGTTTTCCATTTTTTTCTTTCAAACAAGTCACTAGATTCATTACGCAGTAGAGGTTTTTTAGAGTTACGACTGCGAAGTTGAAGCAAATATGGCAGCATATGCAAAAGAGTGCAAATTCGAACATGACCCACCTGCACAAAGGAACTATTGGGGGCTGAACCTGTGGATGTTGCCAGACACTAATCTCAGCAAGACGGAGTCCGCAGAATTAGTGAGAAATTCGAGCTCAGTGGCGTCCTTTTTGGAAATGGTCTCACTATTCAGAGTGTCCAAGCCTGGTTCTGGGAATTAAAGCTGTATGGTGTACCACAGGACAATATCTTGACAGAAGAAGTTTATAACCGAGGCGTTGGGCATTACACGCAGGTGACTACAGATATCATAGCTGCACTCACTGGCAGATGTTAAAAGTACGTTTCTTTCAGCTGGCCTGGCAAACGAGTGACAGAATAGGTTGCGCAATTCAGTGGTGTCCAACCATGACACTTGTGGGATGCGAGTATAACCCTACGTGAGCCTATGGAATCACAGCAACGCTGTTTATCTCTTATGACTTTCGGCCGAAAATCAATTTACAGGGGCAATAATCACAACCAGCTGATTTACGACATAGGAGATCCGTGCACAACTGATGAAGACTGTCAATGCACTGGCTGCACTTGTAGTAAAGATGAGGCCCTCTGTATTCCTCCAGGATATACTACCGTCATGCCACCGACCACAGAGAAACCTACTACAACACCTAAAATATACCATCCAGGTTTGAACGAAAAAGATTTATTTCGGCTCCGAGCTAATCATTCCCGAAGAACACTCTCTCAGGTGGGATGTGCCCTGAGAATAATAACGGAATGACAGATGAGACTAGGCAGATGTTCGTCGACAAACACAATGAGTATCGGTAAGTTTTCGGGACATAAAATCTATAAAAATGTTGCTGTTATTCGTAACAATTCAGTTCCCTCATAGCTAAAGGACTAGCCCACAACAATAATGGAGGATTTGCTCCAAAAGCGGCCAGAATGATGAAAGTGGTACGATTCTGTCATGCTTCGCTTTGTGTTTGACCATGTTTAACCACCACCAACCATGACCACCTTGAAACTCGAAACTTAACATCTCTCTTTTGCCCTATCTATGTTCGTCATAGAGAGCAATTAATTTCTACATTATCATAGAGCTACGATTGCAATGTTGAAGCAAATGCGATTGAATGGGCGAAGGATTGCTCGCTTGGGTACAACGCTGTTGCGCAAGACAACCAGTGGGGGTATAATGTAAACTCACTGTTACCAAATATTAACAAGACAGAAGCCGCAGCAGAGGTTGTAATACAGATTACTTTTGCATGCATTCGATAGAAAAGTACCTGTCTCATTGCAGAGTGTTGAAGCCTGGTTCAGCGAGTTGCAAAAATATGGCGCACCCAAGAATAACATTTTCAGCATGGAAGTTTATAATCAAAACCTGATATCAGAATACGCTCAGGTATGTACGAACTTTTAGCACCGAGAGAATGGTCACTTTCCGCTTTAGTTGGCCTGGCAATCGAGCAACACAATTGGTTGCGCAATTGTATCTTGTTTCAATGGTTCCTCTACACTTGCAGTATGCGAATATAACCCAGGGTAAGGGCAAGGAAGATAGACAGCTTTCTTATAAAAGTTCCGTCTCAAAGATTGAATTTCAGAGGAGACTTCATTGGCGAACCGATTTATACTATAGGAAATCCGTGCACAACTGACGAAGACTGCCAATGCAGTGGTTGTACTTGCAGCAAAGATGAGGCACTTTGCATTGCTCCTTAAATGCTCGAGCAATAAATCTTTGGAAGTAGAAGTTATAGTGATTTGAGTGACTGTTAATCAAAACGTGCTTCAAATACCACAGACCCTCAAAATAAAACAGGCTCCCTGGGATTCTACTACTTCAGGACCTTTCATAAGTCTCGCCTGAATAAAGTCATACGAATTGATTAGGCTGAGAAGATTTTGACTTTTACTTGCAAAAGAACTACTTCATCGCGAAAATAAGCAAGAATACAGGTGGTCGCAGAAAGCTCCTATACCTTAGAGATATCATTGGCGTAGACAGTGTGAAGCAGTCGTAATATTCACCAGCTCAAAAAAATACTTGCCTTGCTGGATTCCTTAGAAAAACATTTTGAGGATTCGTTCAGAAATGCGCAGAGCTGTGTCAATCCTTTGAAGAAACTCTGCAAAATTCGATGAAGAAGCTGGTTCGGTGGATTTTTTGACTTTCCACTGACTTTCCTTCGGGTTGTCAGAGCGAATGCAGCCGCTTAAGCTGGAGGATTACGTTGATTCCGGAGATGACTCTCTTTGAAATTGAAGAATATACGAGGGGATTTCTTCTCGGAACTTCCATTTTCTTAAAAGATATCAACGAAAGCTAAGAAATCACAGCAACTAGTAGCCCTAGCCCCCACTTCTAATCTGTTCTTTTCTAGATTCACTCGTAATTATTATTTAGGCCACTGCTATGCGCGTTGACACTAATCTCTGAGTAGTTTCAAAAANAAAAATAAAGAGTTGAACTAGTTTGTTACAACCGTAGATCTTGGGGGAAAGTGTGGAAATATTCAGACTGTGCTACAAAATCTTACATTCGTTGACATTGACAAGCTTGGCACAAAGAAGGGAGAAGGGGTCAAGCAGCGCATTATTACGAGCTGGTTCATGAGAATCTTTACCGGTACCCTTTCGAGCAACCAAACCTTCTATCTATACGAAGTTCATCGAAACTTGTTTAGAGCCCTCTCCATGATCGACAGGATCCTGACAGCTACAATTCTGAAAGCTTCGGGATTTTTCCCAATGAAATGCGTTGCCAATATAATTGATAGCATCCGTAACGAGAAATGTTCTCGTCTCGATCGACTGCGAGTCTAGAAAATAAGGAGGTCGACTTTAGAGATAGGATCTTTACACTTACATCGAAGTGCACAGTTATTCCCAGGTGGGAACGGTGATCCTTATCTGTTATGAAAAAGTCAGACAAATGGATCACTGAATCCGTCATTAAAACCATACCCTTTTTCGAAACGGCGCATTTTTTCTGATAATGTTTTTCCATGTTCTGTCCATGATAACCATTGTTCTGCCGATTATTATGAAGTGCGTAGCAGTGCGGATTTTGGCAATTAAGGTTAAGGTTATTACGCTTTTGGATGGAAATTCGTCTTTTATGAACAGAGTAATGTGTCATGTGCATGGTCACGGGTTCGGATCCCGGCTCGATATCCGCCCAGGCCAACTGAGCTTTCATCCCTTAGGAGTCGGTTAATTGGCTCTAGATTAGTCTAGGAGGATAAAGGCACTGATTTGTTGTACATTGCCATCGAATGTTCACCGCAACCCATTGTGAAGGCCACATTCAACCCCACTACGAAACTGATGGGAAGTTGAATGCGTGGGAGCATCCCACAAAGAGACCCCTTCTCTTTTCCTCCTGCAGACCAAATTCGTCTGCGAGCTGTTAAGGTGTCGTGGTTGAACATCGGAGAAGCGACAACGGTTGGTCTCATATTCATCCCCAACTTATTTCTATAAATCAAAGCTTCCTCGAGATGAGCTGCATTGTCTTCATAGTGTTCAAAATTGACCCTTTTTATCGAATTTGAAGGGCAAAGATGGACGTGGTGAGGGTGTGAGAGATGGGCCGCACTCAGGAATTTCCGCATTTGCCAGATCTGAAAGAAAAACTTACATTGAGAGTTGTGAAACATCGATAGATCATAGGTCTTCAGCCAGTCGCATGGTCATTTTCAAGCTTATAATAACTGCAAACCACACTTCTAAGAAGCTCCATGAACCGTTACTCTTCTTTGTGGAAGGCTATGAACACGATGGGAAGGTGTCTAGCGCTACCACCCAAATTCTTGCTTTTCTCGTAATATCATCGCTTCCCACCAATTGAAAATTCTTTTTTGATGTAGGAACTTTGAACCTCTTGACCTTATTCATCCTCCCCATCCCAACTTCCTATGTCTGCAGCGGATTAGCAGCCTCCGTGCAGCAATCGCGCCATATCGAATTAGGATCGTAATCTGAGATAACAAACCCATTTGTACAGCATTGAAAAGAGTCTGTCGATCCGAATTGTTAGATTGATTCTTTAATTATTTGTAATGTCTCCAGGTAGCCGTATCTAATTCACTCTTCTGAAGATTGTCCGAGGAACCTCCCGCATCTGCAAATTGGGAGAAGTTGGTGGTTGGGATGTGTTCAGATGGAAGTTTCAAGAAGAAAAAGGAAATCATCATTGTCACTCTATTGTGTGAGTTTTGGAAAAAAGGTTGTTAGTGTAAGAAATATTTTCTTCTAAATTTATTTTTGCACAAACGAGTAGATTTCTCATTTTTTTCGATTACTGTGCTGATTTCGGGAAGCTTGCTGTTGCCACTAGATTGGGGACCGAAATTTCGCCATTTCACCTTCGCTATATTAAGTTTCCAAAACGTTTTATTGTCTGTTTTGTCTTTTTCGCAAATTGTATGCAAAATCGCTTTCTTCCTTAGAGTTTCCCCTCAATAGCGCTTGGAGGTGGTCCCTTCATGATCAGATTGGAGCTGAACGGGTTGGCTCTGCTTTTTTTGAGTTCGGCAACCTAGTCCCGTACGATCCTCCCAACCATAGCATCGCTTTCATATGTGTAAAGAGGTTCACGGTAGTTTCCTACCGAGAACGAGCAAAAAAAAAACTAATTTTCTGGGAAAATCATTGTTGCTTTGCTTCCGCTAAGTCCCATATTTTAAAGGTTCAGAAGTGAAAACCACTATAGCAAAAGTTCTCAGCAAGTTCATGAAGAACAGGCAAAGAATTTCTCCGCAATAAGCCGTAACTCTAAAAACGGGCAATCAGTCAAAGGGCGTAAATTCGTAAACTTAGGTATAGGCTCTAGAAGAGGCCAGAGAAATCCACTGCGCTTCCCAAGAGCTTTGATATAGAAAGTCAGGAGACTCATGCTCGTGTTTCTCCGGTAGCCGTTCCCTATAATTTTGCCATCAAGATCTAAGAGTACTACAAAGATAATCAAGCATTCTTTCAGATTGTTATTTCCTGCTGAGGGTCAGCTATTATACGGAATTGCTGAATACGGATGATATTCCAATGCCAAACCAAATAGTTTTCAAAAACAACACGATTAATTATAAATATCTATCGTTGCCGAATACTTCAAGATGTAATGATGCGTAAGTATGTACAGAAACTTCTCGATAATTTTTGTTTGGTCAGAATAAATAGGATAAACAATCCTCTAAAATGAAAAGTGCTTTTCTTAGTTTGCAACAAGACCTCATTCAGGTGCTTGTAAATGGTTTAGTACCATTACAGAAAAAGCATGATCGTTGCTGTGGTTCTGTCGACACCAGAACAAATATTAACACGGCAAATTATCCGAAATTCGTGGGCGTCACCTTCAAGGTCGCAAGCTGTGAGGGTGAGTATCAATCAGCAACCCCAAGCTCGAATAATTACTTAATAAATTGTCAAATTCAATTAAAAAGCCAGTTGATAATAAATTCGGAATGACTGCTGCTAGATGTACCCCCTACCAGGAATTTTCTCAACTTCTAACTGACATCCTTGAAGCTATTTTTTGTCATTCATTATTTGAGATGTTTATAAAAAAAGAGGTGACCTTTCTCTTGAACCTAATGAATAATAAAGAAATCGATTACAGAAAAATTATTAGCTTTAATCAGAGTTTCTCCCAGTCCACCCAACTTACGCACATAGTCCTTCCAGGATGGAATCGTCACAGTTTTCTTCATTGTCGGTGCACCGAAATCGGATATTGAAATGGAAAGACTACTGGCAGAGCAGAGAATTTATCAAGACATGATCGTGACCGATTTGAAGGATACCTACGAGAATTTGGTGTTGAAAGTTGAGTGGGTTCTTCACGTAGCTATTCGAAATCACTTCACAATCCTCCATAATATTTTTATTCAGGTTAATGTAATGCTGAATTTCTTCATATACAACTGCCGTAAAGCCAATTATTTGATAAAAGTCGACGACGACGTTTCTGTTCATCTTGATCGTATGCTTGCCTACTGGAGCCAGACAAGCCGGAATAAAGCAAAAATATACTGCCGATTGTGCGTATTGTGTCCTCCTTTTCGAAATGAGAGTGATAAATGGTACGTTCGATGTGGACAACTCCCTTAAAGTCACACTTCACGATAAAAATGGTCTGAGACTTCCCTAATTTCCCTATAGTATAAACTCGAGGTTCTCCCTTGTACAATCCCTGTCGTTATGAGGGTAAAAGACGTCCTGGATAGGGCACAATAAGAAATCAGAGATTGTTTCGTGGGAATACCACACCCCTGGTGGACGAGTTCCAACGACTTTGGAGAGACTGCACAATACATAAGGGAACCCATGTAGGAAGCTTGAACAACTTGTCATGACCCATAGCGACAGTGCAAGGGAATTCTAGACAGTTATTGCTTGATGAAGTCAGCTCTTCGGACAATGAGAACAAGTTAAATCTCGTCCAAACACCCCTTACATCCTTCACGGTGATCTCGTACAACCTCCGCTTCCACTACTTTTAAAAAGCCTTGAAGTAGGCGGATTTTCACGCTTTCTTCGCCACCCATGTACTCCTCTACATCAACACTTGCGCATTTCAACCTAAAAAGGGTGCCTCAAAATTATCGTGAATTATGCCTTCATGTCTGGAATAGCCCTTTAGCTTTCACTTTAGGTACATATCACGACAGTACTGGGGCAGAAGGACGTACCCAACCTACTGCCATGGATCCTTTTACCTAATAGGAAGAAGTGCTGCTCAAGGTATTCTCAGAGAAACGCGTTACTTTGAACCGATCCCTTTTGAGGTGAGTTGTTCTACAGTGGTCTCGAAAATAAAATCTGGCGGTGAAATAATAATATTAACAATAGTAATTATGCGGAGGAGGTGTAATGGTAAATGGCGCCCTATCTGGTCGCAGCGGTCAGGGGCTCGAGTCGCTGATCGATATCCGCCTAGGTCAATCAAGCCGTTCATTCTTCCAGCGTCGGTGAATTAATTGGTGCCAGACTCGTCTGGTAAGATAGTATCATTGACTTGTACACCGGCTGGCCACCACAAGTCATTGTATAGGCTTCATACGCATTCCATACGCCACTATGATTCTGAATGGAAGTCGAGTGCGGGGTGCATCCTAGACGGGATCATTCAACGCCCACAGGGCTTCTTCTTCATAACTTCAACAGTGCTGAAATGCTACACAATATCATCAAAATAAAGGATGAGTGGACAAGTCCTCTGCTATGAACCTATCCCGTTTCTGAGGCACATTCGGAATAGTAAAGACACAATAATTTGCGGTGGTCAGCCGATGTTCAAGTCAGAACTTCTGTCTTCTTAAAGAAGTCAGTTTCTAGTTAACCAACCCTGGAGATATAGAGGGCTTGGTTTGCCCAGGCGACTACGGTGCCGGTAGTCGAACCCGGATCATGCGTTTGCGGTAGTGCGCTACGAGCCACTACACTACTTCCCTATTTTTATTCGTACAACAAGAAGAATGAAGCAATGCTTCGAAGATCGCCAATGAGATTACGACATAGCTCAGCATGCGTAGGGTTTATTTCATAGAAAAATGTATTACTTTTAGGACGTGTTCTACACTGGTATATTAGCATCCACTGCCGGTTACCCAAGGGTTGAATGGAGCGGAAGAATCATTGCTGTAGACGAGGTAAGATTCTTCTAATCGGTCAAGTTTCCTAGTCCACAACACATCCCATGATAAATCCTTTCTTCGGGTAGACCCACATTGTCAACATTTTTACACCCTCGTACAAATACGTGAAAGTTGCGGTGTTTTTCACATTAGTAACGAATTGAAGGCAGCGAGTACGACAAGTTGGGCGACAAGTACTGTATTCATGGAGTCATGTGGCCCTGAACAGTCCCGTTTCGGAATGTGCCCCGCACACAACATCCGCTAGTGGCCATAGTTCCGTTTTGGGTGTGTTTATGGTCTATACACCGTAGCCACTCAATGTAAATGTCACAGTTTTTCTCGTCCTAGACGATTCTGGTTGCTATTCGAGGTTCAGGTGATCTTCTGTTCCACCTGGGGACCCTTGACTAATAATTTATCGATAGATACATATTCAAATTATCGTGTCATGTGCTTTTGCAGACAAAACAGCACTAAAAGCAATGTCTTCAGACGAAGTGGCACCGTACCATAGAATGTGATGCTTCGCGAGATGCCCTAACGTTCGCCATTTCATCGTTCAAAACAAGCAACGGGCTCATGGCTGCATTTGAGCACTTGGTTTCTTTCCAGTGCTTGACTTATTGAAGTGGAGTTTCATCCCTTTTAATGTTATAAATAAAATAATAAACTTTTTTCGTGAATATGGTTTTATAGCAAACAAATTGTGGCTTCCAATCATCTTTTTATGCCTTTGCTTTTCTATGTCTCTCACTTTTGCTGAATTCCAGTAGCATACGCTGATTTCCATTGGAGTTTCTTGTAATTGCAACCAGAAACTCACAGATAATTCCACATGGATGTGAATCACATAAGGCACCAAATTTTCATATTCTTTTCGTATTCAAAGGCACAGTTCATGATAATTTTGAGGTATCCAAGTCCATACGAATTCCGTAAGCGTGATATCCTAGTATAGTGCAGAACTGGTAAAAAGAACGCGAAGATCGGCTCATCAAGAGAGATGTAAGCCTCCAAAAAAAAGTAGTAATAAAATCACGAGTTAGACGAGAATGTGACCATAGAGGTCACATATCAGGGCATTTGGACGAGTTGTCCAAATGTGTGTGGCAAGCACACAGCTGACTACCGTTAGCTGTCTACGAACAACAATGGTGCAACATCTACAACCTCTGCAAGTGAGAACTCGTCTGCCTTTTGCGAGTTCGATGGGTACGACGGTTTTGGGCTTGAGGTAAGGTTTGCGGGTTATAGGCGAAAAGCCAGCACTGGACGGTACTCGAACCCGTACTTGTGTTTTCCGGACACCTTATCCATTACACTACCGAGACCCCGCTTGTCCTCGCCTTCTTAATAATAATAATCGAAGAACGTGACGTGAAGAAGAAATTGACACCATCCTAAGCTCTAAGTCCCAGTCAGTCATCATGAGACTCGCTTCAAGGTTCGCACATCCCAAGACTATGCAAAATTTCTTTTTTTTTTGTTATGTTCACAAATTCGCATTATGAATATGGAATTAATATTGCCGTAGTAGTAGTAGTAGTCATTTGTTTTCAGAATTTCACTTGATCGTATGACGTTAAGACATTCCCATCACATGTTTTTTTTGCTGCTGTTGGCCAATTTCCGACATTCTCTCATGGTTGCCAGGCAAGGCTTGTAAGCATTCTGAGCTATTCAATCAACTCATATACATTGAATCTCGTTACCCTAATTCAACATCAACCTCAGGTCATTTGCCCAGATGTAAACGCCCACGTCATACAACTTTTTCTTATACGGATTTACCATACATCATATGTTACCTTATCTTTGTTATTTCCATTCTCCAGAACGATGCTCCTGGCTTGCTGGTGGCTCTATCCCCAGAAGGAGGATCTTCATTCTCCTTCAGGGAATCCAGAACTCAGAAAAACAGCCTCTCTTCCGCTTGATACTGTCCTTCTCGAGTAGCTTACGCACCTTGGGATCGAGGCCTTTCTTGCTTTCAGTTTTGGTAGTTGAAGCAATTCTCTCTTTGCAGAATAAACGGTAAGGGCTAGCTAAGGGGATAATGATAGGTGAGGGAAATAAAATGGTCACAGTCTTTGCCAAGGTCGGATAAATTTCATGACATGGAGCCCGATTAATGGTCCCATACTGGTCATGAATGCAGGATCACTTTTTTCAACACTGTTTCCCTTCACGAGGCTACTTATACATAGAAGATAGACAGACATCAGACAATCGACTTTCATAGAATCGTGTCAGCATCAACTTCGTGGCGTACTCTCGAAAATTGACCTCGAGCTTTCAAGCCACTCCTTTTTCTACCACGGAGCATTGCTAAGAGGAACGGCGAAATGACAGCTCCGATGAATTCAGAAATCTGCATTTTTTTGGGAGATAGAATAAATCAAGATAGATATCCTGTCTCCCGATCCAAAACTCCAAAAGTTCAGCGCATCAGGGAAGTTTGGGAATTGACCCTTGTAGGTGTGCCAATTTGAAACCAGCGCCTGCATCTTCGGCCCAGTTGTAGAGGCTTCTGGAAGGAAGTACCGTAGGGTCTTGAAGATAACGTTCAACGGACTACGCCATCCTCAGTGCTTTGCCAACCTGAAATCAGGATTCTATGAAATTGATAGGCTCCTTCATTTCTTTGATAAATCCCATTGTTGAACAAACTCACTTTTTTTCAATACTGAAAAAAATTTCAATGAAAATTCGCGGAGGTAGGTTTTTTTGCATTCCAATTATTTCCTGGGCGGAAGGTGATTTTTTTAGAGTCACATTTCACATTTTCATGTGACTGCCATGAATACTAGTACTAAGACATACTGATTCCTTTAAAAAGCCTAGTGACTAATAAACTTTTTATTTTTCGGTGTTCCAGGAACTTGTCAACGTTTGCCTTCAATTGCTGCTCACTTCAGTTGGGCTTGCTTGAAACAACATATCGAAGTAAAGCCATTCACCTGCTTCTAGGTTTTCCCTGAAAGCATAGACTCTTTCAGGAAAAACCTAGTAACAGGTGATTCATGTCTTTCATGAACCCAGTGGCTATTGGACGCCATTGTGCAATCCTATACGAATAGCCGGCAGACCGGAAAAAGACCGG